TGATGCTGGCATTCTCATTCAGAGACTTGCCTGTCGTATTCAGGAGGATGGGGGAGCTGCACTGATTGCTGATTATGGTCACAATGGAAATAAGACTGACACTTTCAGGGTAAGTTTGATAGTTAAAATGCTCAGTTATCTTTCACTCCTTACTGCATAAGTAGATCAATGACTATAGAAAGTAGCCAAAGTTCTGAAAGATTTGCTCAAGAAAGACCTATGACTAAAAGCTATTAATCTCCTTACTATGCAGCAGTCAGTGAAACTACTTTTGGGTGATGGACTGCTTACACAAGTAGAAGTTGCGGAATTGGGCTCTAAATAAATATGGGGGAAGGGATGAGTGAGGTGGGCCCTTGATTCTATCGTCAGTGAGTTTTTGTTTATGCAATTGGAGAAAGTAAACTTTAAAAACACAAATTTGCCTGTCATGTATTCCTTCTGGTATTTTTGGCCTAAAGACAGACTGCCACCTACATGTGCACTGGCTTAAGTTATCTTGTAACTTCATTTTTCAGAGTTTCCGCAGTCATCAACTTCATGATGCATTAATAGCTCCAGGTACAGCAGACCTGACAGCAGATGTTGACTTCAGCTATCTCCGAACCATGACACAGGGAAGAGTAGCCACATTGGGACCTCTAAAGCAACAGGAATTCTTAAAGAATATGGGTATTGATGTCCGGCTGCAGGTAGGGTTTAGTGATTGCATGTAGACACTATTACTAATGCACAAACACCTCATAATGGCATAGAGAGCACACTTAAAGTTTGCGGACGATACCAAGCTGGGAGGAGTTGCAAGTGCTTTGGAGGATAGGATTAAAATTCAAAATGATCTGGACAAACGGTCTGAAGTAAATAGGATGAAATTCAATAAGGACAAATGCAAAGTACTCCACTTAGGAAGGAACAGTTGCACACATACAAAATGGGAAATGACTGTCTAGGAAGGAATATGGTGGAAAGGGATCTGGGGGGCATAGTGGGTCACAAGCTAAATATGAGTCAACAGTGTAATACTGTTGCAAAAAAAGCAAACATCATTCTGGGATGTATTAGCAGGAGTATTGTAAGCAAGACATGAGAAGTAATTCTTCCACTCTACTCCGTGCTGATTAGGCCTCAACTGGAGTCTTGTGTCCAGTTCTGGGCACCACATTTCAGGAAAGATGTCAACACATTGGAGAAAGTCCAGAGAAGAGCAACAAAAATGATTAAAGGTCTAGAAAACATGACTTATGAGGGAAGATTGAAAAGATTGGATGTGTTTAGTCTGGAGAAGAGAAGACTGAGGGGACATAAGTTTAAGTACATAAAAGGTTGTTACAGGGAGGAAGGAGAAAAATTATTGTTCTTAACCTCTGAGGATAGGACAAGAAGCAGTGGGCTTAAATTGCAGCAAGGGCGGTTTAGGTTGGACATTAGGAGAAACTTCCTAACGGTCAAAGTGGTTAAGCACTGGAATAAATTGCTTAGGGAGGTTGTAGGATCTCCATCACTGGGGATTTTTAAGAGCAGTTTGGACAAACACCTGTCAGGGATGGTCTAGATAATACTTAGTCCTGCCTTGAGTGCAGGGGACTGGACTAGATGACCTCTTGAGGTCTCGAGCATATGATTCTATGCCTCTGCTACAGTAAGCATTCATTAAAAGTGGGTTTTATGTAAAAACCTTCTTGTTTCTATATACTGTCACTTGGTTGCAAGTTTTATTAAAATTTAATTTTTAATTATGATCTGCAATCAATGGTGTTTTATATTTTAAAAGTAATTTTGGGTAACAGTTATATTCCATTCAGTATAAGGCCCCATTTGGATCTCACTAGTTATACACAGATTCTGGTCTCCTGATCTTCCTAGTGTAGAAGGGTTATTTGTGGGAGAGGAGGAACAGAAGTAAAGGCATAATGAACATTGTTTCTTTCAGGTGCTATTGCAAAATTCAAGTGACACAGCAATGCACAAACATTTGCTTCAAGGCTATGATATGTTAATGAATCCTAAGAAAATGGGGGACCGCTTTCATTTTTTTGCCCTGCTGCCTCATCAGAGACTTGCACATTCTGATCAGAAAGTGAATCTACAACACTCAAAATCTCTTTCCGCACCTGTTGCTGGATTTGGTGAACTTATCTGGAAATAAAGCCAAAGATTAGACACTGTATAATTGATGGGAGCCTGCCAGTAACTATTAAAGTCACAACAAAGAAAATGAAGTCTATGCATTTTATAGTTTTACATATTCAAGAAAATAAACTTTTCTTGTAATGGATCACTTGTCTGTATGCAACAAGGATTTATTTAACCGGGTTATGCACTGCCTTTGTGCTGATGTACAAGCACAGGAAATGTACCATCATTCTGGCCTGCTGCTTCCCCAGAGAGCTTCTTTGTGCCTCCATCTTAGGTACGTACCTGTGGTTTCCTTGGAACCTGAGGCAGCATTAAAGGCCCAAAGATTTCTCCCCAGATTCTCAGCGATTTCCCTGGTTACACCCCTCTTAACTGCAGCCCTCCATTACACCTCAAACAGGCTGCAGTGATAAATCTATATGATGCTTATCTGTTGTGGGTAACTGGGCTACTGTAATTGACTAGAATGACCTGTGTTGTGTATAAGCTAACATCAAACTGAACAAATTTTAGCAGTTCCTATACAAGAAAGGTATACACAGTAAATGAGAGCAAACTGTTTGTTCCAGTGGATTTTCACTTTTAACACTTTGATTGTGAATGACATACCTGTGAAATCAGGTTTTACTGTACTTATTAGTTGACATACAGCCATGATCACTGACTGCAGGGGTGCCCAACAGCCCACCAGAGCATTTCCTAAGGCCTGGGGCCTGCTTCAACACAATACTAACAGCCAATGCAGTGTAAACTAAAATGATGTAAACATAACGCTAATGATTTCTTGTTTTTAAATAGGTTGTTTCTATGTAAAGTATTGTCTAAATACATATGAAACAAGCAGAACTTAAATATAAATCAATAGAGGTGACTGTAAATCTTATTAAAATATGTAGAATCTTTTGACCTACCCAAGGTTGTGTGTAGGTTTACATGGCCCTCCTGTGTAATAAAGTTGACCACCACTGACCTAATGGACAAAAAAGTTAATTACTACAGTCCCAGGAGTCTCACTTCTCCTTTCCTGGGAGAAAGCTGACACCCTTCTATGGTTGAAATTTTCTCAGTGCAACTGGTCCAAAGTGGAATGAAAATGTTGCCTTCTAAGGCACACATGTATATGTAGGTGGTGTCAACTGCAACAAAGGGTTAGGTGAATAAATCACTTTACCATAAAAGGTTTCCATTGTACAGCCAGTAAATAGTATTCATTTGGCCACATTTTCCTACTGCTTGCTACATTCTGGGTGTACTTTTAACAGTAAAGTTACATTCATGCTGCAATAGAATACACCTTGATATGTTTATTTTACTTTTCCCACTATTCTAGGGCTTACACTGTTACTGCCTATTCTGTAAGAATTTAAACACAAACGAAGGAATGACTAAGTGAACAAGAGGTAGCTGAACTATGACAGTTCTAGAAGGTGAAAGAAAAATTGCATAACAACTTTGGCTATTAGGAGGTACTGTCAAGAAGCTATCATACTTGACCTACGTTAACATTGTTTGATGTAATAAGAGATTTGGGGAATGTCCTGTGGATTCTAACTAGGTATATTTGTTTAAAACCCAGCACTCCTTGTCAGTAATTCTCTTAATCCATTTTTAAGAAGTCAAATGTTTTGAAAGATCTGAAGGGGGGGAAGGAGGGGAGTAGTACACCCTTGGCAGCAGCTGTGCTCACATCAGTGATCCCAGCACACAAACAAGTAAGTACACAGACAAGTTGTTTTCAAGGACATTTTAACACAGATGAAGGAAGGGAATCCATGTAAATGGAGGACGACAAATCTGATAGGGAAATAAATTTTATTTTCAAGCTTAGAGGATATTTACAAACAATGGGATGTATAAAAATATAAAAAAGTACTTGACAGTGTCCTTTTGAGGCTACAAATTTTACTTGAGCTTTTTCTAGCATCAACAAAGCACTATTTCTTGCATGAATGCAACTTCTTAATTCAAAACAGGTTAATGATTATGTAGCATTGGGTACAAATTCATCTGGAGCAACTGATTATTATAACTCCAGGTTCTTAGTCAGTGACTTAAAGCTTAAAATTTAATAAAAAAGGTTTTAGGCTTTCATTAAAAAAGTTAGAGTGCAAGCTGTGCAATTCATTTCATGGCTTGTAAAATGTGTGTGATAACTATCAGAGTAATACAAATGTTCCAGTTATTTTTCATCTTAAGCATCAAGCCACAACAGGGTGTGTATTGCTACAGTACTGGCCCGTGCCATAGGTGTTCTGAGGCTTGAAGTATTTGACTCATCTTAATAGTGTACCAGTGATCCAGGAATGCATATGCTTAATTTATTGCTATTAGAATATTGCTACTTAATTCTAAAATTCATTAGTTTTAAAATCATGGGTGGGGATTTTAAACAACATATCCTACTGCTATGGAATTCACTATAGAAGGATTAGACAAAAGGGCAACAAATTTGGAGCACACTTTTACTACTAATTTGAATACGTTTATTTCCAGTGTTTTTTGGGGGGGTGGGAAATCCTCAACTTCCACTATCTGCTTCTAACCCCAGGAGTCCAAATGGCTTTAACAGTTTGTGCTCCAAAAGCCAATTTCAATTCTCATTTTGTTTTTAAACCTAAATTGGGAATACTGAATAGGTCTTATTTTGTGTTTTAAAATAGAAACACACTTCACAGGGGTGGAGGGAGGGTAGTTAGGCCTCTTCATTTCATGGATACAACCCTCTCCTCCAACCCTAAGAACATAAGAACGGCCATACTAGGCCAGACCAAGAGTCCATCTTGCCCAATATCCTGTCTTCCGCCAGTGGCCAACGCCAGGTGCCCCAGAGGGAATGAACAGAACAGGTAATCATCAAGTGATCCATCCCCTGTCACCCATTCCCAGCTTCTGGCAAACAGAGGCTAGGGATACCATCCCTGCCCATCCTGGCTATAAGAACAGCCAAAAGCTATTGTGCTTTTCAAGCAACTGACCTGCTTTAAAGATGTTTATTTAAATGTAATTGGAAGCCCTGAAATGCCTCAACTCAGAAGTGTTTGAAAGTCTAACCATATCTGAAGCACTACAACCATAAGAGGCCCGGTGCCCAAATTTCAGAGGTGCTAGAGAAATGATGGCAGCTAGAAGAGAAAGTGTCACTTCCCTCTCCAAGCCTGGATGTGACAAACTTTACAGGAAATCAGGCCAATACTAAGCCAATGATTTCACAGGTGATCAGACTACTTCAAAAATTAAAACTACAATTGAATTAGCATACAAGCTGTTTCAGTACTCTCTGTGGAGGGACCAATCCTGAAATCTCCCCTCAATGAGGCTGCAAGGCTAAGGGGGCAGATTCTGTCTCCTACTACAATTCCTTTACAGTCTTCTAGCACCACAAAAGGGAAAGGACAATCCCCTGGAGAATTCCCCAAATGCAGGAGTGGTATGGGCAGCTCTACTCACCCACCCTGATTTTGATAATTACAATTAAAAATATTTTAGTCAGCCTACAAAAACATTACCTCACCTAGAAGAGTAAGGAGACCCCAAAGGCTTCAATTACCTTTGCAACCGAAACCTACAGAATTTACATTTTAAAAAAACATAAGGACACTACCCAAAGCCAAGTTATTAGCTAGTTGGACCTATCTGGGAGATGCACAGCCTTGCATCAACTCCCAATAATACATGGCTGAAATTTCATCAGAAACTCACAACTTTAAGTAAATGGAGGCCTCCATTTAACATAGCGGGCATAAGGCTTTCTTCTTGAAACATGGCCGACTTTAACTGCTAAACTATCTTCCTGCACCATCATTTCAGAAGGAAACTTCTGCTTCCCTCTCCATTTGGCCACAGTTCTCAAGATGTGGCTGGGTATGTTTAAACGGAAGTTTCTGTTAAGAAGCTGAATTAAGAGTTGGTTTAGAACTCCTAATTCAGTTTCATAATCTATAAAGTTTAGGAAGTGGGGAAGGGGTGGAATTGCAGGTTAAAGACTGGAAGGCTGAAATAGGAGGCAATGCCTCTTCCTCCTGGCAGCTGGATTCATGAACTAACCTGTTGGCAACAGTTTGTGGTGCAACAGGACCTTTAACTCATGCTCAATTTTGATTTTTTCAGCAGGACTCCTAATTTAGTTTGTTCAACAGAAAATGAGGATTGAGAGTTGCCATCAGGCCACAAACTACTGCAGACAGGCTGAGTTCGGGAAACCTAAAATGAACATAAAATACGTTTTTCAAAGTTATTCAAAACAGTAGAGGAAAAGTGTTTATACTTTTCTTTACTATTTTGCATATCCTGCTAGAAACTATTTTTCCACCGTGGAAGGATATGCTACATAAAAGTGTGTATGCTATTTGTGCACTACTTTGGTGATTTTAAGACAAAACACCTTTGGTGCACACCAAAGACACATCCCAATCTTGCATATTAATGCACACCCTGTTGTGGTTTATTGCTCTATTGTAAGAGACAACGTTGAGGGCTACCACAGCTTTTTGATTGTCAGTTGGCATTCAACAGAAATATGAAATCCGGTGTTACTATCTTATTTTCAGACATCTGGAGAAAGATCCTTCAATTCTACCAGGGCAAAGAAAGTCAAGTGTTCAACTGCTTAAAACAGCGGCAAACGAGCATGTTCCTTTACCTTTATTATTATCGCATACCTGTCAAACATTCAGTCTTTTAAATTAGTCCTACTCCAGCATTTTCTGTTGTGATTTGGTAAAGGTATACGGTTTTGATTTCTTTTTACAGCCTCTTTCCACAATGTACAAACTAGGAAAGTGGAGATGTAGCTAAATACCAGAAAACAGTACTCTATGGCTTAGTAAATAAGGGACTAGGAAACCATAAAAAAATTGTTTCGTTATTGCATAGGCTACAAAAAACACAGAAAACTCACACCATGCATTCAATCTGTATGCATTACACCTCAGTAACATCGTCCGTAACCATACAGCTAGTGAAATGTTACCCAAGTTGCTTATCCCATTGCCAGATCACATTTCATAGTTCAAGAAATTAGAGATGAAGAAAAACTTGTTAGGTCATTTTGCTCATCCACCTGCCAGTGCAGGATCCTTCATGGTTTTGTAGATTGAATCATCTGAACAACATTCAAAGAGCAATATCTGTCCAGAAAAGTATCAACATCAGTTTCTATCTGAAGCTCCCTTCTGTAATGAAGTTAGCATGGTGAATATTAAGGGTCTTCTTCCATATCATCTGGATTCGGGGCCATAATGAAATGTTTGGGGTACACAAGGTTGTGTTCATAAGCATGTTCTTCCCAGCGAGCATCATCACTCTCATGGGTAATGTAACGCTCTCCAATGCGAGTTTCAAACTCTCTAAGGTCAAGCCAAGTCTGATAATCCTTTAAAAAAAATTAAGGTGAATGGTTTATGAAACCCATGGCAGCACAACAGTCATAAAAATCAAGTTAGCAATTCAATACTTTTAGTTTAATATGACTAGGTGACTACAGACAAAAAGATATAGTGCGAACCCAAACAGGATTAGGTTCACCTGAAGGGGCTTGAGTTGAAATAAGTTAAATCCCTCTGGTTTCAGTAAAAGTACAACACCTCTACCTCGATAGAACGCTGTCCTCGGGAACCAAAAAATCTTACCGCGTTATAGGTAAAAGTGCGTTATATTGAACTTGCTTTGATCCACCGGAGTGCGCAGCCCCGCCCCCCCCCGGAGCACTGCTTTACCGCATTATATCCGAATTCGTGTTATATCGGGTAGTGTTATATCGAGGTAGAGGTGTACTACGTACAATTTATGAAAATGTAATGATTCCAAGACAGACATTTTTCAGATATATGTAAAAATGCTGTCCTTTCAGTTGAAATACTAATTCCATCAAATCATTCAGTGGGTTTTCCAGAGTTCTCTTGTCTGTCTGTGTGCAAAATTGTGAGATTATGTAGTTGTCAGAGATCAGAAAGTAAAAGGTACCCGAGTGAAAACTGAACCAACACTTTCCTTCTACAAACACACTTCACCTCATCTTGCATCTTCTAAAATGAATCATGGTATACATTCTGCTTTCATTCTCTACTTGAGAACAAAAAGCATCCCACTCTGCCATGTATTTGAGGTGGAGTTGAGTGTTGATAATTGGCAATACTAAGGAAATGAACTCTCCACACCACTGCCAGATAGACAGTAAAGAGTAAAAACAGAGAAAAATTAACAGTATCATAGAGAACAGGAGGGCAAGATAAGATTCTGAAGGGCAGGGGGAAGGAACACATAAGGAGATGGGGAGATAGGAAGGACGCAGCAGGTAAGCATGGTCAATGAGGCTTGGTTCTCTCTCATATTAGATTAATTCTAGTTGCCATCTTCATGGATCTGCATTGTAAGATATTTTCATAATGTTGTGGTAAAAACAATTTACAGTTACAAAGTTTACAAAGCCTTTGAGCTATTTAATTTAAAATGTGATTCACTTAAAGGACAGTTACATACTGCTTTTATAGAAAATAAGGTGGGCAATAGCTCTTACCTGTAGCCAGGGGTGACTAAGAGATTTGTCAACACTGTAACGCTTTCTCATCTTCACTTGAAGCAAATTGTTTATTAAATCAATGGCTGGGGCGGGGGAAAAGCCACAGAACAAACAAATTATCAAAAATTCTACAGTATAAATACAAATCTGTCATCTCTAATGTAGTTTACATGTAACTCAAATTTAAGTGTTACCTAAAATATATACACAATGTATACTGTGTGAATCTTAGCCAAGCCAATGGTCTTTACAATAAGTTTTAACTCATGTTAGGAGAAAGCCAGAAAGGTAGTGTTTTGTTTGTTTTTAAAAAACACACTACTCAAAACCGAGTTTACTGATTTACTCCAAATTGAGTTTATTGATTTCAAATTTACTGTTAAAAATAACGTACTAATGTGAGGGTAAAATCCTAGTCCGACTGAAGTCAATGGAAGCTTTGCCAAAATTGGTCCTAAATTAAAAGGGGTAAAGTTTTCAAAATGACTGGGGTACTTAAGAACCTAGGTCTCATTAGAAGTCAATGAGATTTAGGCTCCTCAGCCAGTTAGGCTCTTTTGAAAATTTTATCTTACATCTTTTTAAAGTGCTCTCTCTTAACAGTAAGTTCCCACCATCACACACTACTCTCAGACATCCCTCCAGGTCTTAAGTATATACACCACTTATTTTATCATCATCGTGAATTTCACAGCTAGAGCTAGGCCCATGCTAAAACCCCAGGTCTGAACAACCTTGAAGTCTGCTAACATTTGGATCCAGATCTGAATATCTTCACTCACCCCTATTTCGTTATTGCACTGGACCAGAATGTTTGGATCCAGAATTCTAGTTATACACCTCTACCCCGATAGAATGCTGTCCTCGGGAGCCAAAAAATCTTACCACGTTATAAGTGAAACCGCGTTATATCGAACTTGGTTTGATCCGCCGGAGTGCGCAGCCCCGCCCCCCCGGAGCACTGCTTTACCGCGTTCTATCCGAATTCATGTTATATCGGGTCGCGTTAGATCGGGGTAGAGGTGTATGCATGCCTATGTTTCAAGCTATCAGTCCCAACATACAGCCATGCCAGATTGAACTTGTCATTAGTTTTCATGAAGAGTACACATCTTTACCTCCAGCCCACCACTTTCTACACCCAGCACAAAAGGTACCTAAACCCACATTTGGTGTGTTCATACAATAAGCCATTATGTCAAGTTCTATCAACAGCTTTCTGAAATCTAGTTATATCTATTGCTTCTCCCTTTTCTCTAGACCAATCGTTAAATGTAATCCTATTTGACATTGTTTATCTTTCACAAATTCATGCTGGCTCACACTTATTATGTTAGCCTTTAACCAAAGAGTCATTCAGCTGTCAATTTTCACATTCCTGTCTGAATCAAACTCATAATGCAATTCAAAAATACCTGAATTCCAAAGAATTAATGTATATAAAATGCTATAAAAAATAAGATCCCAAAAAGCAAAAGCTCTCTTTAATTTCTTTACCTTCACTAGAAATTTCCTTCCAGGGGTTTGGTGGATACATAAATGCTGCATTTTGGATTTGGTCATTTATATCTTCATCCTCATTAAATGGGAATGTACCACTAAGGCTCACATAGACAATTACTCCCACTGACCACATATCCAGAGAGCGATTGTAACCTTTACTCCGGAGCACCTCAGGAGCAAGATAAGCAGGGGTTCCAACCACAGAGCGCCTGAAAGACTTTTCTCCTATGATGCGCGCAAAACCAAAGTCACACAGCTTCACCTGTAAATAAATACAGTACTGTTAACTGAAAAATCTCTGGTAGATCTCACAGAGGAGCAAATGTCCAAACAAAAGTATGGTATCAGGCATTACATTTGCCATCATTTAATTATTGCTTGCACTGGACAAATTGAAGCAAAAAGCAATTAGTCCTATTCCTTCAGTGAGGTCTCCCTTTACATACTTGTCTTTGGAAACTTACTAGCAAACTTGAGAAAAAACAAACAGTAACCTCTTCTGTAACTGTTGTTCTTTGAGATGTGTTACACGTGTCCATTCCACTTCACTGCACATGTCTAACCCACTTCAGGTATGTGTGCACACCCACTGCACCAGAGACAGAGATTTGTCTCAGAGTGGTACCTGTCGGGGCAACACATGCACCCTATGCTGCCTTGTGATGGCATAAAGCGTGCAGCTGCCCCACAGCCCTTCGGTTCCTCCTTACTGGAGAGACTCTTGTTATAGAGGGGAAGGGGAAGGGTCATAGAATAGACACGTACAACACATCTTGACAAACAACAGTTACAGAAGAGTTTTGTAACCATTTTGTCTTGCACACGTCCATTTCACTTCAGGTGATTCACAAGCAGCTCAATCTGGAGGTGCATTTCGGAGTCTACCTGATAAACAACTGAAGGACTACTTGTCCAAACTAGGCGTTCTCTGGAATGCTGAGATACAGAATAATGAGTTGTAAAGGTGTGTGCCGATAACCAAGTTGCAGTCCTACAAATGTCTGTTACAGGCACTTGAGCTAAAAAACCTGCAGAACTGCCCGAAATCTTGCCGAATGTGCTACTACCCTGCTTCTCAGGGTTATATTGGCAATGTCACAACACATTTGCAAGAGGAAATCCATGATGAGATTCTCTGTGCTGAGACTAGAAGGGCCTTCATCCTGTCTGCAACTGCTAAGAATAGTTGGGATGACAACCTAAACAATTTGGTTCTGTCCAAATAAATACCTAACGCCCTTCTGACATCCAAAGTATGGAGTGTCTCTTCATCCTTATTGGGGCTTAGGAAAGAAAGTCAGTAAATTATATCACTTGATTGAGATGGAATTCTGATATTACTTTAGGCACATAGATGGTAAAGAGCAGGTTGCCATCGGTTCAAAGCATTGACCCATCAACTTTGTTAACACCAGATTTGAACCCTAGGGATATAACCTGTCCAGACCCTTTAAGAACACTGGATTAGAGAATACTGAGTGGCCAGTGATTGGAAAGTGGAAACTGGAGATAGCTCCCAGGTAAACCCGGATGGTACTAATGGATAGGCCTTGTTGTTTCAGGCAGAACAAGTAATCCAAGACATGGTGGAAAGAGGCCCAGACTGGAAAACATCTTTCTGCTATAACCATAAGGAAAATCATTTTCACTTCAACAGAAAAGTATATTGACTAGAAGGTTTTCTGCTATTCAGGAAGATGTTTTGTACATTCTCTGAACACTCTGCCTCTTAAGGCATTAACTATGGAGCATCCAAGCCATAAGATGGACAGCAGACAGGTGGGGATGCAGGAGTCAACCGTGGTCCTGCAAGATCAGGTTGGGTTCTGATGGTAGTGTCAGAAGAGCCCTGACACAGAGGCTCTGCAGATTGGAGAAAAAATGGTTACCTATCTTTCGTGACCATTGCTCTTTGAGATGTGCTGCTCATGTCCATTCCATTCTAGGTGTGCGCTTGCCCATGTGCCTGGTTGTCGGAGATTTTTGCCTTAGTGGTATCCATAGGGTCGACAGTGGCACCCCCAGGAGTGCCATGCTCATGTGCTGGTATATCAGGCACTGCTGACCTTATACCCTCCCAGTTCCTTCTTGCTGGAAACTTCAGCAGGGGGGCAGGACAATGGGTAATGGAATGGACACGAGCAACACATCTTGAAGAACAGCCATGAAAGATAGGTAACCGTTTTTTCTTCGCGTGCTTGCTCATGTCGATTCCATTCTAGGTGACTCACAAGCAGTGCCAATGGAGGTGGGCTCAGAATTCACGGTCTTGCAGCACTACCCTGCCAAAGCCAGCATCGTCCCAGACCTGCTGGGTAAGCACATAATGGAATGCAATCATGTGGACAGACAACCAGGTAGCAGCTCTACAGATCTCTTGGATCGTCACCTGAGCCAAGAAGGCTGCTGATGACTAAGGCTGCAAGTTTGTCATGGAGGTCATGGATTCTGTGACCTCTGGAGCGGCTACCGCCCCACTCCCCAGCAGCAGCAGGAGTTTGGGTGTGGGAGGGGGCTCAGGGCTGTGGGTTGGGGCACAGGAGGGGATGAGGGCTCTGTGCAGCGCTTACCTCAGGGCAGGGGGGCACTCCCTGGAAGCAGTGACATCCCTCAGCTCCTAGGGAGAGGCTCGGCCAGGAGGCTCTGCATACTGTCTCTGCCTGCAGGCACCGCCCCCATAGCTCCCATTGGCTGCAGTTCCCAGCCAATAGGAACTGTGGAGCCAGCGCTCAGGGAGGCAGTGTGCAGAGCTGCATGGCCATGCCTCCACCTAGGAGCCGAGGGATGTCACCACTTCCGGAGAGGCGTGGAGTCAGGTAGGGAGCCTGTCAGCTCCGCCAACCCCTCCTTCTCCCAGCACCAGTGTCCCCTCCACCCCCCGTGGCGAGCTGCGCCCCACCCCCCAAGATTTAATCAGGGGTATATAGTACAAGTCATGGACAGGTCACGGGCTGTGAATTTTTGTTTACTCACCATGACCTGTTCATGACTTACTAAAAATACCTGTGACTAAAACATAGTCTTACTGATGATGCTCCTACTCTAGTCAAGTGAGCCTTGACTATTATGGGTGGAGGCATATTCACCTGCTCATAGCAGTATCAGACGCAGGCTGTGATCTAGGATGAAATCCTTTGAGCAGACACTGGGCGACCTTTCATCCTGTCTGCCACTGTAACGAACAGCTGTGTTGACTTGCGAAACAGCCTTGTCCTGTCAATATAGGTCAGTGCCCTCCTGACGTCCAGGGCGTGTAACTTATGATCCTCCTCAGATTTATGGGGCTTAGGAAAGAAGACCGGTAAGAAAATGTCCTGGCCAGTATGAAACTGGGAAACCACCTTGGGCAGGAAAGTTGGATGCGGCTGCAACTGGATCCTATCTTTGTAGAACACCCTATAGGGCGGTTCTGACGTAAACGCCTTGATCTCAGACACCCTGCGAGTGGACATAATCACCACCAGGAATGAAACCTTCCAGGAGAGAAGGAGAAGAGGGCAGGAATCCAGAGGTTCAAAGAGAGGTCCCATGAGCCTAGACAGCACGAGATTCAAATCCATGGGGACAGGGTCCCAGACGTGAGGGTAAAGACACTCCAGACCTTTCACGAACCAAGCCATCATGTCATGAGTGAAGATTGACCTGCCTTGGAATGGTGGGTGGAAAGCCGAAATAGCAGCCAGATGGACCCTAATCGATGACAGGGACAAGCCCTGAAGTTTGAGGTGCAGAAGATAATTCAGGATAACCTGCAGTGAGGCCTGTTCAGCTCGGACATGTCATTCCAAAGCCCAGCACATGAATCTTTTCCACTTTGCCAGGTAAGTTGCTCTAGTGGAGGGCTTTCTGCTACCCAGCAAGACCTGTTGCACCCGGTTCGAGCACTCCCGCTCTTCTGCATTCAGTCATGTAGTAGCCATGCCGACAAGTGCAACTCCTTCAGGTTGGGTGCAAGAGACTGCCGTGGTCCTGGGACAGCAGGTCTGGCCAGAGAGGGAGCTGCAGCGGCACAGCTACTGAAAGGTCCAGCAGCATGCCAAACCAGTGCTGGTGAGGCTACTCGGGGGCTATCAGAATAACCTTTGTTCTGTCCTGTTTGATCTTCACGAGGACTCTGTGGATCAGTAGCACCAGCGAGAAGGTGTACATTAGGGCTACGGACCATAGGACCAGGAAAGCATCTGACAGGGAATCCCTGTCCATCCCCTGGAGTGAACAGAACACGTGGCATTTCCTGTTCTGATGGGACGCAAACAAGTCCACCTGGGAGTTCCCCAAATGGAAGATCATACTGGCTGCCTTCGGATGGAGCGACCACTCGTGGTGAGACAAGAAGGTCCTGCTGAGGTGATGTGCCAGCACTTTCCTGGTTCCGGGCAGGTGCGCGGCTACCAGATGAATAGCATGCGGCACACAAAATTTCCCAAAGGCTCAGAGCTTCTTGGCAAAGGGCTGACGACCTGGCTCCGCCCTGCCTGTTGATGTAATACATCACAGCGGTATTGTCCATGAAGACCTGTACTACCTTGTCCCTCAGGTGGGGCAAGAACGCCTAGCAGGCCAGATGAACTGCCTTTAGCTCCCTCCCTGACATGGATGTGAAGGGCCAGATCGTCCCACAGCCAGCGACCTTGAGTGCTGAGCTCGCCCAGATGCACTCCCCAGCCCAGGACCAAAGCATCTGAGACTAGGGTCAGCAGGAACGGGGCCGCAAAGGGAACACCCTCCAACTCTACAACCACCACTCTAGGGATGACAGGATGCGATCCAGCATCTTGACTACCCAGTCTAGGTCGTGTCTGCTGGGGGTGTAAAGTGATGCCAGCCGCGCTTGCAGAGGCTGGAGGTGGAGCTGGGCATGACTGACCATGTATGTACAGGCGACCATGTGGCCCAACAACTGCAGGCAGGTGTGAGCCATGGTGAGCAGGTGGTTCTTCACGTGGGAGACCAGGTCCGACATGGCCTGAAAGTGAGCCTCCGGAAGAAAGGAGGCTCACATGGAGTCGAGAACTGCCCTAATGAACTCTATTCATTGAGCTGGCCTTAAGATGGATTTTTTTCTCATTTATCAACAGGCCCAGGTCGCGGCAGGTAGAACGCACCAGATCAAGGCTCCTTTGTAGTTGTTCCCTGGACCTGCCCTTGATGAGCCAGTCATCGAGATATGGAAAGACCTGGACTCCTTGACATCTCAGGTAAGCGGCCACTGGCGCCATACATTTTGTGAAGACCCTTGGTGCCGATGAGAGGCCAAAGGGTAGCACTGTAAATTGGAAATGGTGTTTGCCCACTATGAAATGGAGGAACTGTCTGTGACCTTGGAATATGGAAATAGGCATTCTTCAAGTCGAGGGCAGTGTACCAGTCAAAGAGAGGTTACAGTTTGTTGTTTTCTGTTTCTATTTTCTTTACCCAAAATAAGCAAACAGCAAAGCATAAAAATAAGCGCCAATAAACAACTGCAAAATAAGAGCTGGCCAGATTGGAGGCAGAAGAAAAAGAGAAAGGATAGATGCTAATACCAGAAGTGGCAGTTAGAAAATGTTAAAAACCCTAAGCTGAAGCCACCCAGAGAAGAGCCATGGAGCTAAGACAGCAAGAAGTTGAAGCAAGAAGAGAGTCATGGAGCTGAAAGACCGAGGCGGAGGAGGAGAAGGAGAAGAAATACAATCTGGAACTGTTAGCAAAACATAGAAAGATCTCAGAGTCCCCAGCACCTCCCTCCACTCAATGAAGCCTCAGCTGGGACCAGTTGTGTCCTGCATACAAAGAGACAGGTTGCATTCACGAGTACTTCACCACTTTTGAAAAGCTATGTGAAGTTCAACAGAACCAGGATAACCTAGCATCTGCTGGAAAAAACAGGGATAGGAGAAATCAGACCAAGACACAATGGGTATTCTGTTGTTGACAAGGCAGTCAAATAGACTCCTTGGAATTTCCAGGCTGTCTAGAAGAACCCAGCAAAGAAGAAAAGCAAGGAGGTGGAGGTTTCCTCCTACCATTTTCCTGGAATTACTCTGTGGGAATTCTATACCACTGAGTACGCACAGAATTCATGTCCCCTGCAGATTTCTTTGCTTCCCCGCAGAAAAATTACTTGTGACGGGGGAAACAAAGGGAAGCCACAAAGGTAGTTACACATCCATCCCCAGTGAGGGCATGTCTTTGCAGGAGTCCGGAGCAGCAGACAGAAAGGTAAATCACAGGGGCACCCCAGCCGGTGGCTCCTACCCTGCGCTGGGCTCAGCGGCTAGTCCCAGCTGGGCTGGGGGAGGACAGGATTTCCTCTTCCCCTGCAAGAAGCGGCCAGGAGTCAGACCCATCCCCAGAAACCTCCCCAACTGCATGCACCCCTCACCCCCACACACAGTTCTCAGCCGTGGCAGGGAAGGGTCACTACGAAGGGAGCTGCTCCCCCGGCTGCCCAACCCCCAAGCATCTGGACTCCCATACCCGGACCCCCCACCCTGCCAAGCCTCACCACCCCCCGCACCCAACACCCCCCCGCCGAGCCTTACCCCCTGCATTTGGAACCCTCCCACACCAACCCCCCTGTGTCCAGACATCCGCCAAGCCCCTCCCCCCTACATCCAGACCCCACCCCTGTACCAGACTACCCACTGCTGAGCCCCCTGCACTCAAACCCCCACCCCCCTGCACCTGTGCCACCTCAAGCCTTGCACACCCAGACCCCCCCGCTGAGCCCCACCCCCCACACTCAGACACCACCACCCCCCGCTGAGCCCCAACCACCTTCACCTGGACCCCCCCATCCCGCACAGTCCCATTCCCCCCACATTCCCTACTGAGCTGTCTGCACCCAGACTGCCACACACAGAACCCTCTCACCCCACACCTGGACCCCCCCACACTTGGATCCTGATGGGCTGAGCCTGTTTGCCCCACACCTTGATTGGGGGCCAGTACTAGGCGTGAGAGATTCTGTCCCGCTCACTATCTTGGTGCACCTGATGTGGAGGGGCAGGCTGCGGGGTGTTTCTGAGGCAGGGTCAGATGTCCTGTGTCAGGGTCAGATGCAGTCTCACCACCAAGTCCATGTCCCCAGGGGTGGGGAGCTGCAGGGTGGTTTCCCACCTCCATGCAGACAGTGACCTGTGCTCCCCACTGCCAGGCTGGAGCCTCCACATTTATTTATTGACAAATTAAAATATGCAGAGTTTTACAGAATTTTAATATTGTGCACAGAATTATTTTTTGGTGCAGAATTCCCTCAGGAGTACTGAAACGATTGGTTTGTCTAGCCATGAAATGTGGGCATCATTGGCACGACTAAGGGCAAAACTGTTTCTTTTTAGGGAATGAAGTGTAAATTCCTAATGATTTCATCGTTGCCCTGGAATCTCTGAGACTGCGAAGCATCTCATCAATCTACTGAGAGAAGAGGATTCTCACAAGTGAGATTCTTTATAATCTGTTGGACTTCCTACAACAGACCCAAGGACTGAAACCATGAAAACCTGCACATCGTTATTACAGTTGCCATGGCTCTGGCTCAGAATCCACTCCATCTAATACAGCTTGGAGGGAGGTCCTGGCCAGGAGTTTGCTCTCTTCCAAGATGGACTGGAATTTCTGCCTGGCATCCTCTGGTATCTTGACCGTGAACTTCAGAACATTGTCCCAGAGGGAGAATCAGCAAGGCCTAACGGTTACAGATACAAAACTGCAGGCCAGCAGTGGAATAAATCTTTCTACCAAAAAGGTCTTCTGTTTTCACTTTTTTATTTTTTTGGGGTAGAAGATAGCCATCCCTGATGCACTCTTTCATTTATGGCTGAGACAACCAAGGAACCCAGTGAGGGATGGATGTAGAAATATTCATAGCACTGAAAAGGGTCATGGTACCCTCACTCAATTCACTTGGCTGTCGATGGCAGAGAAGCATTTGCCACTACAATCTTGTGGGCTCTAGTATGGTTTCATGTACAGACAGAGCCACTCAGGAAGGTCCTGCTGTCCTCAGTATGTCCAGTCTATGGGAACCCTCTTGAACCACCTTGACCTGGATGTCCAGAAAGAAACCAACCCTCTTTAGCAACTGGTAGGCCCTTTAGTCATCCTAAAGAAGCAATGACACCCCAGACATCACCGCCTCATCAAGTGATGAGGAGGAATGCAAAGAAGTCTGAGTTGGAGCTTCCTGTACCTCCCCAGGTGGAGGTTCTGGTATATGAGGATGCTCTTGATCAGTATGAGCCTTGGTACTATGGGTAACATCCTGAGTCTCCTTATGGGAGATATCCCATCATCTGCTTGGGGATCTAAAGGGAGGAGAACCAGAGAGGATCTGATGGTGAGTTGAAAGCCCCATGAGTTTCATAAATCCATTGGTAGGGTATAGGACCCCACCCTCTACCAGCCCAAAGATCCAGATCCCTGGACTACCATGGGACCTCTGCCAGGTTCCAGGAGCTGAATCCTCTAGAGAAAGGTGAGAAATGCCTTCTAGCCCTGGAGCGAAAGGCACAGGAGCCTACCTTAGTCTCCAAGGAGGAACCCAAGTTACCTGCCCAGAAAGACGCTGTGCCACACAGTGCCAATGTGCAGTATTGTGTCTCCAGAGACATCAGTACTGGTGACAGCATGCTGGGCTTGCCTCTTGATGGCACCAGGCAAGCAAGCACTGGAAGTCTGAAGCCAGCCACAGCACCAATCTTACTTGCAGGTACATCTGATGAAGCCTGAGGCTCAATTGGTACCAGACGACTTGTCTCCTGCACTGCTGAAGAATCCAGTACTAAGAGGGGTAGCAGGTCTCACACCGTGGCATCTGCCTCCAGCGTCACCGGTACCAAGAGATTCTCCTGATGATTGTATTGCAGAGGTCAGCCTCAACGGTGCATGCACCGGAGTCAATGACCCTGGGTTAGATAAAGTCAGTATCCGTGAGCACCTCTTCCCCAAAGACACTCTACACTGCCCTCCAGCTTGCTTGCTGATAGACAGCACCAGTGACCTCGATCTTTTGGAGGAGGCTGGCTCTTTCAACACACATTGTCCATGCTTCTTCCTTGTTACCAGGGAAGGGGAATAGCACAGAGTCTCTGCAATGTCTGGAGGGGCACTTCTGACAGAGACAGAAGTACTTGATGTCCACCCCTTTGGTCCAAGGCTTGAAGTTTCTACAGATATGGGAACAGTCTCAGATGTGACCCCCACCGAAGCACTTTAGACTGCTGCAATGAGGGTCACTTACCAGACTTCTCACAGCCAATGCAAGCCTTAAAGCCCAGGTACCAGGAGTTGGCAATCAGAACAAGCAAGAACTGACAATCTAAGCAAAACTAAGTTAAATAACAATAAAACTTTACTCTAAAGGTCTAACTATTGATAACTACACTAACTATATACAAGAAAAAAATCCCTGACAAAGAGAATATTAGCAACCCTGCCAATCATGGGTGGTTAGAAGGGACTGAAGAGGGTCAGGGGCAGCTCTGCCCTTTATATCATTGCGCAGCAGCATGAGAACACATGCACCACCCTGATAGGTACCAGTAAGGGAAAAATCTCTGACTCTGGCGCACTCGGCTGGCACACACCTGAAGTAAAATGAACATGTGCAATCACTCAAAGAAGAACATCTATACTTATTCAATAAATCAGTACACAAAATACATAGATAATTCATAAGGTAACAATACAGGCAGCTCACATAATTCTAGTTATATTTTGGGTGAAACATCAGTAATACTGTCCTATGACAGATCATTTTTAAGCTCTAAATTCTATATTTCTTCTTTAGTGGAACAGTGATTTAGGATGAAACATTTGTTAAATTTTCACTCACCTGAGGGAATGGTTCTGCTGATGCTAGTAGTACATTTTCTGGTTTTAAATCACAGTGCACAATATTCTTGAAGTGTAAATTTCTCAAAGCAACAAGTATCTACAAAAGGAGGAAAGGTATTTTCAAAATGATTAGGACTGTAAGTGTCTAAGCACCAAAGATCAGACACACAAAGTTGTACAATAATTTAGAACTGTACAGATTTCTCCAATTTGCTGTGCTTTCACATTGTGCAAGTGCTTTTTTTTTTCCTGATCAAAATCACAATTGTTAATTTTGTTTGGGGGAAGGCAGTTTTTGAATATTTTTATACCACACATGGACCATTATGAAAACTTAATTTGAGGTGTCTCCTTTAAAACATAACCAATTACTCCTTTGCTGCAGGATGGCTACCTTTAAATCTATTATTGTGTGTCCAGGGAGGTTGAAGTGTTCTCCTACAGGTTTCAGTATATGGTAACCTCCCTGGACACACAATAGCAGATTTAAAGGTACCCATCCTGCAGCAAAAAAACTTCAGGACCAGACTCCAAAGAGAAACTGCTGAGCTTCAGTTCATTTGCAAATTTGACACCATCAGCTCAGTATTAAACAAAGACTGTGAATGGCTAGCCCAGGGGTCGGCAATGTTTGGCATGCGACTCGCCAGGGTAAGCACCCTGGCGGGCCGGGCCAGTTTATTTACCTGCTGACGCGGCAGGTTTGGCCGATCGCAGCCCCCCACTGGCCGCAGTTCGACGTCCCGGGCCAATGGGGGCGGCGGGAAGCCGCGGCCAGCACATCCCTCGCCTGCGCCGCTTCCCTCCACCCCCATTGGCCCAGTGGGGGCTGCGATCGGCCGAACCTGCCGCGTCAGCAGGTAAATAAACTGGCCCGGCCCGCCAGGGTGCTTACCCTGGCGAGGCGCGTGCCAAACGTTGCCGACCCCTGGGCTAGCCAGTTACAAAAGCAGTTTCTCCTCCCTTGGTGTTCACACCTCAACTGCTAGAAGAGGGCCTCATCCTCCCTGACTGAACTAACCTCGTTATCTCTAGACTGATTCTTGCCTGCATATTTATACCTGCCTCTGGAAATTTCCACTACATTCATCTGACGAAGTGGGTATTCACCCACGAAAGCTTATGCTCCAATACGTCTATAAGGTGCCACAGGACTCTTTGTCGCTTGTTAAAGCTTTGTCTTCTTTAAATAATGATTGAATCTAGGCAATACCTTGGGCTAAATTCTACTCACACCAGTTTAAGAAACCAAAATCTGGCCCCTCTTCTTCACAGAAGCAAACAGAGATGGAATACCAACCTGGGTGACCATGAACTTAGTGATTCGTTCTGGCAGCCGACTTTTCTCACTAGAAAGAATCATCTCCAGCATATCTCCATGCAACTTTTCCATCACAACAAACACCCGTTCTGGGGTTTCAAACATACATTCCAGGTTTACAATCCCAGGGTGGTGCAAATTCTAGAGAGTTACAACATTCACATGAAGAACAAAAAAGATACAGCATTGATTGAACAGTAGGAAAATTACACTTATACTGAGCTATAAAATCAGAAAGGATATATAAATGGAGAGTTAGGGATTAGAAACAAAGGGTATGAGGCAGAAGGCATTTCAAGGTGGCAAGATTTAACAAATGAAATGTGCCAATTGCCAATATTAAGATTACTTTTGTCTGGAAAAGGAAATATCTGAAGTGGACAATTTTGTATACGATACAATCAGACAGGAATATAAAGTAAAAGAGCAAAATGTTTGTATGGATTGATGGGCAAGTCATGCAATCAACAGAACAGAAGTCACATGAATTTCAGCTGCTGCTTCAGGGAGGCCCCAGAAAGCTTAAGTACATCTTCTCCCTGGGTCTGTGCTGGCAGTAAGTAGACAGCTGCCAACAATAAGCTGACAACTCTGCTTCCAGCTGCTCACAGACTCCCTGTCTTTCAGTGCCCCCTCTAACAGCCGGGCTCAGATTTCAAGGATTGGGTCTTATGCCCAGCTTAGTTAAGCACTTAAGCACATGCCACAGAATCACAGAAAATCTTTTCCTTTGACAGGATGCAAAGCTCAAATGTGGATTTTATTTAAAATGTATTTTGTACCTGCAGAATGGCAACTTCATTGCGAAGCTGACTTTCCTGTTTTGTGGGGAATCTCATCTTATCAATGACTTTAATAGCCACATCCCTTCCAGTCTTCCTATGTTTTCCTAAAAGAAAAGCAGCACCACCCATCAAACAGCAGAAAATCATTCTTTAACAAAGTTACAGCCCTCTTTGTGGAAATGGGTACATTTTTCACAATCATAAATGTTAATACACATGTGAGTTGAAAATTGTAACTGTGATATGAATGTAATTGACAGTAAGTACTCTCAATCCTGAAATGCAGGATTTTTCTGCAACATAAATTTAAAGTGACTGTTGCTTTGCTGTCCAATCTGTGCATTGATATTATATATATTAGGTGAAACTCACCCCATGCAGATGACCTGCAAAAGACCTATGCGCCATTAAGTCTCACAAAAACCCATAAAATCCTGGCCTCTTCTATGCTGATGCTCAGGGTGGGATGGAAAAAGTTGTAAGGATTCCTCTCTCCTGTTGTCCCAGCAGCAAAAGGATACTTCCACTGTGTGCCGGAATGTGCTAGAAGGTACATCCAGCTAATTCACTGGCTGGCAGGCCATATGCCCAACAGGGTATAGTCTACATGAAGAGGGATATGGTAGCCCAAGCAGGTGTGCTGCCATCTGGAAGCTCTAAATGACTGGTTAGGGAAAACAGGCTGATCCGTGGGGGTGTGGGTGTGGGTGTCTTGCTGTGCTATGTTTCACCTCAATGGAAAACATTATACCCTACACAGACAGGATGTCTCAAATGCTGATCGTGCAGCTGCCCACCCAGCACCCCCACCCATACTCAGTTGTTTCCTGTAATGTTAGAATTAAGCCCTCAATGAAGAGGGCAGGTTAATGAGGTCAGACACAGAAGGACCTTGGTAATCTAACACACACATCAATATTAAATCTAGAATGAGATTGTAACAAAAACAAAAGGGAATGTCTGCTCAGTGAAAGTGCTGAAAACTCTTTTAGAAAAACGTATAAAATACACAGAAAAGTCCACAGCTATAGTGTAAGGGGCACAGAGAATACTACGGTGCACTTCTAGATAAATACTACAAGGAGGTCAAACTACTGCTATATAAACAACCTAGCTAGACCTCACCTGGAGTTCTGTATTCAGTACTGGTGGTCATGGCTTAGTAATTGCTCCTGAAGGTTGTTGGATGGAGCAGTCAACATAACAATGTACCTGCCTTAAAGATTTATATGATGAATAAAGGGTTAAAAAAAGGCTTATTTCCACTGGACAAAACGAGTTAGACTTAATGGAGGCCTGACTGAAGTTCCAAATGGCAACAAAGTAGCCAGACTTCAATAATTGAAAAGTAAAAATAATTAAATCAGATTAGAAAAAACTAGTACAATGAAAAGCTTGCAATATATCCTGGGCTGATAGAAGAAATGGCATGAAGGTTGAAATCCTTCCAAGGAGTTTAGGAGATCTGTTTTGAGGCATTCAGTATCAATACCAAATAAAACCCTTGGTTGACCTATGGCAATTCTGAAAATGACATAAATTGTAGCCACCTGTACGGGTTAGAAAATATATATATAAAATTAAAGGAAGATGTTCTAGCTCCACTAAACATCAAATTATATCAAAATGCCACAGAAATAAAGTCAACAGTGGACTAGACATATTCCTTCTGGATACTGGACTTCATTAAAGAACATCAAACCAGGAGACAATATTTGGTTAAGTAAGGCAGAACAGACCAGAGCGGTGCTAATACACAGGTGAAGGATTAACATTAAATACTGTAAGTGGGTTCAAAATGGCTTTAAACATAGCCCTTTAATCTGGTATTGCTGTCAAATCTTACACCAGTAAGAGATCACCCAAATTTTCTCCCTAGCCCCACAACATTTTTTACACCTTTCAAAAATGAAAGGTAATGTGAATAGAGGGGCAAATAGAAATAAAAGCTAGATATCAATACACCTCTACCCCGATATAACGTGACCCGATATAACACAAATTCGGATATAACGCGGTAAAGCAGCACTCCGGGGCAGCGGGGCTTCGCGTTCCGGCGGATCAAAGCAAGTTCGATATAACGCAGTTTCACCTATAATGCGGTAAGATTTTTTGGCTCCCGAGGACAGCGTTATATCGGGGTAGAGGTGTACTTCAAAATGTATTCAATTTTCAGTATCTACAAGTTCAAAATTTTGTCCTACATTCTGAAAAAAAAGCACAAATTTCTCTCATACCTAGAAATAATTAAACCAATAGGATGTTCTATGTGAAATTTTCTAAAATACGGGAACACAAAAATGAACCAAAAGTATTTTATTCACTACATGTTAACTAGAAGGATGTAGATCCAAATTTTAAAATGAATAAGAATATTCCTATTTATGGTATAATGATTACCAGAACCAACCTGTGAACTGTTGGCAATAAATAGTGTAGCAGTGTCGGTTCCAGGATATTAGTGAGAGAAGGTAGATGAGGTAATACCTTTTATTGGACCAACTTCTGTTTGTGAGAGAGATAAGCTTTCAAGCTTACACAGAACTCTTCTTCTGGAGACAAAGAGCTCTGTGTAAGCTCAAAAGCTCGTCTCTCTTCATCAGAAGATGGTCCAATAAAAGATATTACCTCACCCAACTTTGTCTCAGCAATAAATAGATCAATGCAGTCAGAACGTAACGTAAAAATAAGACTATGGTTATAGTCTCTTTTCTTGCTCTCCCATTTTCTTTGCGATTGTAGTATCTTATATGTGTTACATCATACATGCATTTTTAAATGGTGGAGTGAATTAAAAAAGATTTGGACAAATGCTTCATACAAGCATTAAACATATTGGCTTAAATAAGTATTGAATCAAGGAGTAATTGTACTAAACATCAAGAGGAGTTTCTATACGAAGAACAGTGTAATTATGGGAGTAGATCAAAAAATGATAAACGGGGAAATTGTCTAATTCTGTCACAATCTCTCTTTCCCACTCCACGCTCCCACCTTAAAAGAGAATCCTTACACAAAATGTCATGTTACCACTTTCCATGGAGTCCAGAAGCAAAAGAAATTTCTGTCAAGACTGGTGTACAGCTACCAGCCCATCAACTTATATCTCCATCACAAAATTTTCAGAGTAAGAAGAGTATTAATAGCACAACTAATATACAGAAGAATTAAAGTTTCAATGCTTTGTAGACAATGAAGGCAAAATGGAAAGGAGGTTTTCTTTCTTTACATTGACCTTTAATTACTGTTCTTTTGCCTCCTTTCTTGCTTTCTGATAGGTGGAGTCTTAACAGGTAACAATGAGGGGGGATTTGATAGCTGCTTTCAACTACCTGAAAGGGGGTTCCAAAGAGGATGGATCTAGACTGTTCTCAGTGGTACCAGATGACAGAACAAGGAGTAATGATCTCACATTGCAGTGGGGGAGGCTTAGGTTGGATATTAGGAAAAACTTTTTCACTAGGAGGGTGGTGAAGCACTGGAATGGGTTACCTAGGGAGGTGGTGGAATCTCCTTCCTTAGAGGTTTTTAAGGTCAGGCTTGACAAAGCCCTGGCTGGGATGATTTAGTTGGGAATTGGTCCTGCTTTGAGCAGGGGGTTGGACTAGATGACTTCCTGAGGTCCCTTCCAACCCTGATATTCTGTGATTCTAATGATTCTGCTCTGGGAAGAGGAGACATGAAACAGAAGAAAACTAGCAAGGACTGTTCCGATGATTTTGTCTCGTTTCCAGAATTTCATTTGCTCATGATTTCACATTACAAACAAATAATATGTTGTAACTTAAGCATTTTAACACAAAAGATTACAACAGCAGAGCTGTATGTCATTGACAACTCAGATATGAGTAGATATATGAAATGTGACTGTAGCTAATATACGTACACTAGCCAACTACATCTCCCGCATGAGCACATATAAAAGCAAAAGTTCACAGTAACTTACCTCCATATACAATGCCAAACTGACCGGAACCTAGGACCTCATCAGCAAAGATCTGATACACAGAGCTGATATCCTATTGCATGAAAGAGGTAAGCCACAAACATTAGAAGCAATCAGAGAACAAATGTCCATTTGGAGATTCAATGATACTGGCTAAATTGTTAATCATGCTTTTAACAAATAGTTTGAAATTAAAGTTGCTTTGGTAATTTTAAAACTATGGGGCAGATTCAAAGCTGCTGTAAGTTGTCGTATCTGCCTCGTTGTATTTAACACTATGGTGACAGTACAAAAGTATTCATTTTCTTTACTAACTGACATATATACATAACATACACTTATTATTCTGAATGTTGGCGAATATCTGCTCTCTCATTCTTAAAAATTCCAGAACACACTGTTAGTTCAATCTGTTCTGGGTTCTAATAAAGACAGTCAAACAAAAGGTTAAAAACCTGTCTACTAACATTAACTATTTTTCACTCAAATCTCCTGCCCGTAAGTAAAGGAAAATATAAAAAATTAAGCCAAAGTATTTGGAGTATTATTGCATCACCTACAAATGTATTTTTCCCCTTGTGTGTGTGTGTCTCATTAGTTTGGAAAAGAAATAAAAGGGAAGGAACTTTCTCTCAGGAAATTCTAGTCATTGTATTACATATGATGACACACACTCACCAAAATATCAATGATGTCAATAAGGGAGACTGCTTTTATGTACCTAATGAGAATAGAGAGTTCCATGGCTGTAAAACCTTTAGGTGTTTTACCTTGACCGTTTTATGAGACATTCTTTCTTACTATCAATTGCTTTAAAAGAGTTTGGGTACATAATACCATTTTTGCACATGACTCACCACATTCTCCTGGATCTGGCAATTTGAAACAGAGATGCTGAGAGATAACTCCTCTGCAATAAGAAGGAAAATATAATACTATAAGAGAATAAAAAGTCAAGTTTTGTTACTGGTTAAAAATCATTTAACAGACTTCTAGCAATGTAGCTAGGGTGAAAAGCTGTGCACTGGTGTTCTGCAGGAAAAATATATATTCAGACTCAAAAGTCACATGTTGATTTAGACAAACTGGTCTGGATTTTGTTTTGTGAAGCAATAGTTCAGGATTAGTAAAATGCCAAAACTGATGGGAAAAGAGGTAAAAAGATTAGAACAATTTGTACAAGACCAGGAGCTGGAAACTGAAGATGAAAGTAATTTGCTTACTACATCGTAAATTGCAGCAATTCTCTGGTAGCGGTACAGAAAAGTAATCAAGTGACAAAGTAAAATAGATCATTTATCTTAACCAAAAGGAAGTGTTAGCTGTCTGCAGAGTTAAGGAACTTATATGTAATTGAGTAGGTAAATATAAGGAACTAAGAGAAGGAAAATATAAAGTCAAGCAAGATACAGACGAGCATGATAATTTAGAAAATATTATCTGTGCGAGTTCTATTCTAAATGTTAGTTTTGTAGATCTGCTGTAGGAGGACATAATTCTGCAAAATTTGAGAGCAAATCTGGAAGGTTGATCATAGACCTCTTCAAGTAAAAGAAGCAGACATGGAAGTTGAGAGCACACAACATTTCTACTGTAAGTCTTCATCAGAGAACCAACTTTGACATGAAGTTTAGGAGTATAACCTCAATGTACAAGGCAAAAAAATAGACAAAACATAGCAACAATTGCCTTTTCCTTTGACTTCAGGTTGGAGTCAAGCTTCTCAACAAAAGGACAAAGACTAATCTGCCAAGTGAATTTTCAGACTATGCTGAACAAATCCCTGGACAATATGAATGTCAGGCATATGTCAAACCAGAAAGAGCCTTGAACTCTAGGAACACAATTCCAGAGCACAAAGAGAAAGCCTGTTGCTTCCTCTCTTGCCATCAATGCTCCACCCTCAAATCAAGGCTCTACAGAACTGGCATGTTTCAGAGTAGCAGCCGTGTTAGTCTGTATCCGCAAAAAGAACAGGAGTACTTGTGGCACCTTAGAGACTAACAAATTTATTAGAGCATAAGCTTTCGTGGGCTACAGCCCACTTCTTCGGATGCATCTGAAGAAGTGGGCTGTAGCCCACGAAAGCTTATCCTCTAATAAATTTGTTAGTCTCTAAGGTGCCACAAGAACTGGCATGGTAACAAATACCAACTCACTGGGATTAGGTTTCTCTGAATATTGCACCTGAACCAGAACCTCTACAGGTTCACGCATGTCTAATGATTGTACTCTTCTACTTGAGACTGGTTAGGCCTCAGTTGGGACAAAATATTCAATTCTGGCCAAGAAACAGTTGAGTTCAAGAAGAAACAAACAAAAATTGTAAGAAATTTAGAAAATAACATCAAGATATACATAGCCTAAACTGCAGTAAGGATAAAATAGTTAAATGGAAGAGGAACTTTGTAAAATCACCATTACTGGAGTTATTTAAGACTACATGTGACACCCATCTATAGAGATGCTTAGAGAGCCTGAAATCAGTCCAGTTACCGTGCAGGTGGATGGTGGGCAACTAGCGGCCCCTTCCAGATAAGCTGATTCATGTATAAAAATAACACGTAGATTGACAGTTCTCCACTGATCACATATCTGAGGAGACTTAAGAGCATAACTTATTCTACCCAATAACATCATTAATTTACATTCAAAATACTCCCTCAGAAGCTGCCTATATAAGTTAATTAGTGAGACAAGGTGGGTGAGGCAAGATATTTTATTGGACCAACTTCTGTTGGTGAAAGAGAAGCTTTTGAGCCACAGAGCTCATCCAATAGAAGATATTACCTAACCCACACCCACCTTGACTTTCTAACATCTAGGGCCCAACACAGCTATAACTATACTGTGTACAACTATATGATATAAAAGTATACTGAATCTACCTTCAGTTCTCCTTCCCTCTCACTTTAAGTCAAGCTACACTCACTGGGGAGCTCTGCCATTCTAATTTATTAAGACAAAGACCTAGAGAGCCATCCTTTTTGAGGGACAGTAGTATGTCAGTGATTCACCAATTAAGAGAAGCAGCCTGGGAGCTGCAAGCTCCTTACATACATACATAAACAAACCAAAATACTAAATCAACAGTACAGATATGAAAAACAGTGCTTAGAAAACAAATTTCTAAGGTTTTTTCATGTGATCTGATACATGTATGTAGCTGTTAACCTATCTATATCCCTTACAATTTTAATATCTATAGTCAGACTGATGTTCACTGTAGCTAACAAATGCACTAAAATCACTGGTTTCCAGGATTTATCATGTTATCAGAAGGGTTACAAATAATTACTTTTGGCTTTTTAAATACCAAAAAAGGCTTCAGCCTATATTAGTATCTTAGAGCTAAAGCTGAGAAGGAGATTATATTTAAAGAATGGTAAAAAAGCTATAGTAACAAATCACATTTCACAGAAACAATGCCTCACCATAATTAAATACCAATATGGTGTTTGTTAGATATGCATCACACGAATTTGAGAGCATATTTTGTTTTCAGAATCTACCTTCACTCACTGATTGAGGGCAGCATCTGAGTGTCACTCTGCTGCTGATATCACTACCCACATAGAAAGGTAGGGTTCTGATAGTGTCAGAGGTAAACTAATTTATCCCAGGATTCCCTGCAAATTTAGTGACACAACAGGCGGATGAAGGAGCACGTGGGCACCAGCAGTGGACAGCATTGAGGGAGAACTCAAGTGTGGAGGCATAAGCCTGAGCTGGGTGACAATATGAATGCTGTTGCCAAGAGGCTTCAAGGAGGCACTTGGAGAGATTGACCCGGAATATCTGGTGTTCAGTGCACCAGGGATAGTGAATCTGATGCTCTGTGTGAAGAAGGGTGAGGAAGGAAGGGTGGTGCCTTTCTTCTGCCTTTTTACAACTTCAGTGCAGCAGGAGTTCATCCCACCACTGGCAGTATTTACAGCCCATTATCGGCTCCCTTCCTTGTCCTTATAGCTAGGGTGTAACTACAAAGGGGCATTACAGATGTGAAAGGGATAAGGGGGACAGTATTTGATTTCTCACAAACTTAAAGAAGTTGCACTTAAAGTAACAACCAATTTTTTTTTGAAAGTTTATATTAAAAGAAGTACTTTAGTCATGATCTGTATTAAATGCACCAGCCATGTGTGAATTTTACAGTCCTACAATAAAGATTTTGTAATATGCATTCATGATAGAAATGACAACAGATTCTTAACTACGGTTTGGTGCTGCAAGAGGTGAAAAGGTTTCTTTTCATAGTTAAAATAAAATTCCATGTGTGTCTAAAAATTAAGTAAGGCCCCAATTCAACAAAGCATTTACATGAATACTTCACTTTAAATACATGCTTAAATGCTTTACCGAACTGCAGCCTAAATCAGTAACAGCTTCAGTATATGAACAACAGTGCCTTGTCTGCCTGCTTACTGTGATCTTTTCCTTGTCCTGTTGCAGTGCACACGCTAGCTTGAGGAGTGACTGGCATCAAAGCCTGACGGATGGCTTTCTCCCAGCTTTGAGCTACGTCAGATCCAACTCCAGTGGCAGCAAGAACAGGATTGTGATGGCTGTTGCCATTATTTTCGCCAACAAAGTACACCATGGTGTCAGTGATGATCTCAAAACAGTGTGGGTTGCTGCCCTGCACCATGTTTGAGAAATCTCGAGGCTGATTCACCTGGAGAATTTCTGAAAGTGGAATCTCCTGAAGAAAAATATTAAGCGTTAAAAAAATTGAAAACGTACATGTAGCTATAACATATTGGAACTCTTTCGTGAAGTTAGGAGTCATTACAGTTACTGAACTGGATGTTTTCGTAATGTCAAACTTCATATTGCTACAAACTCCCCAATTTTCCCAAACTGCTCTATACAAGCCCAGAAAGATTTCCAATCTTGCTGCTTATCTCATATTTAGGGCCCAATCCAGTACTCTCAAGTCAAACAGAAACATCATTAACTTAAATGGGAGCACAGTGTAAGTAAACATCATGGGATCAGGCTCTTAGTAATAGGACTGTGTTTTATTTTTTTAAATAGCGGTATTATTTGTATTTGGGCCAGGACCTCATTGCATTAGGTGCCGAATATACACATACAATCATTTTTATAAAGAGTTTACAGCTACGAGAAGATACAACAAGTGAGTGTGACCAAAAACAAGAAGGAATAGGAGACAAAGGACAAGAGCAACAGTGCCAAGAATATGTGGTTACCTAGGCAAGTTACATACACAATTACAAAAAACTAAAGAATTCCCTTCTATATAAATATTAAGCAATCCCACTGGCACTCTACCTTGCCATTAGCAGCTGGCAAATTACCAAAGGATGATGGCAGAAGGGGGACTTGGAGAGAGATTTGAAGAAAGAGGGTTGTAAGTTTATGGACCAGTTAGGGGAGAGCATTCCATGCGCGTGGGAAAGCATGTGCAAAGACGCTAGTAAAAAAGTGGACAAGCAGGTAAACTAGGCTGGCATTGTAGTGAGAAGACAGGGTCACTCAATAAAAGGCAAGAGCAGATAAGTAGGAAGGACAAAATTGTGAAGAATTTTAAAGCCGAGGACAAAAAGCCTTCAAGTAGTAGAAAAGTAAGAGTAAGTGGAGGGATTTAAAGAGGTAGTAACATGATGTGAGCAACGAGTGAAGAAAATCTTAACAGTTGTGTTTTGAATGGACTGGAGTGGAGCAATATGAGCATCAGGGAGGTCTGAGAGGAGAAGATTGCATTGGTCCAGATAGGAAGGAGGAGGACCTGGACAAGAATTTTAGCTGCGTGCACAGAGAAGAAGCTGGATCTTAGAGATGTTATGGAGGAAGAAACTGCAAGATTTGGACACAGCCTGAACATGCTCAGCAAGAGGGGGAAAATCTCTGCTTAAATTATAAGCACATTCTGAGCATTTCACTACAAAATGTATTACTATATTAATAACCTGCTGGAATTATTGGAAAGCCTTGACTATTTACTGATTGGCTGCACAGCAGGATGAGAATACAGAAATGCATTTAACTGATCTTGGTTAAATTACTCCTCAGAGAACAATTTCAAGTTTTATCTTAGGAACTTAAAAGTAAATACAGGAGCTCACATGAACATTTACAGTCAACATGTATAGTAAGAGAAGACCCCGGCTTTTAACAAAGCCATCTGTCAGAAGTGATTGAGCAGACCAGTTACAGAAATAAGAGAGCAGATGACCGAAGTAATATGAAGTGAAAAATCCCTTAGTAAAGTTGAGCATCATCCATGTTAAACTCCTTGTCAAGGCTCTGAGACTTCCATAGTTATTTATTTACCAATACCTTTTGTAAAAGGAATTTTATTTTCCAATGCATTCTCTTCCTAAAATCTGACAAGTCTTATCAGCTTAATCTGCAGCATGGGAGATTTATATATATTAGGAAGAATTTTTTAACTATAAAGATAGTTAAGCACTGGAATAATCTTCCCAGGGAGGTTGTGGAATGTCTGGAGGTTTTAAAGAACAGGTTACACTAACACCTGTCAGGGATGGTCTAGGTATATTTGATCTTGCCTCAACACAGGGACATGGACTAGATGACCTCTCAAGGTCCCTTCCAGCCCTACATTGCTGTGATTCTAAGCTATAGCCCCAACTGTACAACACACGATCCACTTGTAGAATGGTGTATCACCAGTTAGCGAAACTATCCAATAACTGCTAAGAAACTTCATATACTAAGCTAACACGTCTTTAAATAACAGTTTAAATATTTTTAAAGTGAGAGACATTTAGTCCAGGTGATTCCCAGAGGAATGGGAAGCATGAGCTCCTAAGGTTATAGTCCTAGCTCTTCCTATCTGGTGCCTTTGGCAAATCACAACCTTTCTGCCTCAGCTTTGATGTATAAAGCAGGGATAACATTTATCATTTTACCTCAAAGGTTTGTTGAGGATAAACTGGATGTTTGTAAAGTAACAAGTAAAGTGCTATATAACTGCTGAGTATTATTACTTACCTTGTAATATTTTGTTCCAGATTCATTTTGAAATAGCGTAAGACATTTACTATCCAGTCTCCAGTAATGTCTCTTTCTCTACAAGACATATCACAGAGTATCATTAGGCACAAACAAACAAAACTGCTAAAACTTCAGTTTCTAGACATTTAAAGTACAGAGTTGTTTTATGGTACACAAGATATATTGCACACAATGTCAGGCTACCACTGCTAGAGTTTTCAGTTTACATTGGGAGCATGAAGCAGTATGTACTTTGGGATACATACGCCAATTTTTAAAAACTCAAGAACAGTCACATTCCACAAACTGGAAAGAATGGTTACTTACCCTATGGTAACTGTGGTTCTTTGAGAAGTGTTGTCCACATGGATTCAACTCATGATGCGTGTGCCCCATGCAGGCAAGATCAAATTACTTTGGCTAGCAATGTCTGCAGGGGCCACACCTGCATCCTAGATGTTCTTACACGCCTCAGACCCAAGGGTATTAAGGCCTGAGACGGCCCAACCATCCCTCAGTTCCTTTGCCAATACAGAATCCCAGAGGAGGACACTGCAGTAATGGGGAAGGAGGATGGGTCATGGAATCCATGTGGACAACACATCTTAAAGAACTACAGTTAGTGCATGCTGAGTAACTGTTCTCTCTGTTGAGTGACTGTCCACCTGCATTCCATCCTTGGTGACTAACAAAAAGCTGTCTATTTGCTTGGAGGTGCGTACCAGGAGTCCTACTTAAAAAAAAAAAAAAAAAATGACTGCAGGATAACCAATCTGGAAGCCTCTGGCAAAGAGTAGCATCTTGTAAAGGTGTGGGCTGGAGCTCCCTGTAGCTACCCTAAAATGTACTGAGACATTCCTCAAACAGGCAGCAAAGGCTGCCTGGTCTCTAGTGGAATGAGTGCTAATGTGGAATCTAACTTGGCTAGCTCATAACTGTTTTTATAAAATTGAAGACCCACTTAGACAACCTTGGTGAGAATACAAGTCGTCCCGTAACTCTTATCAGCAAAGCCCATGGATAGTCTGGGTATGTTACTGAATTATTTTTTCTTGTTGATGCAAAAGGACAGTGTCTGTACTACAGTACCTGAGCTAAGGTTAGCTTCCCCAAGAGCTGAGTGAGGTTTGAGGGGGAAAAAACTGGGAGGTAAATGGATTGGTTGGAACTCTGAGACAACTTTGGGGAGAAACTTGGAGACTGACCCAACCATCTTGAAACAAGGAGAACATGTCATGAGAGCCAGACTCTCCTCTACCCTTTGAGCTGATGTAAGGACTACTACAAAAGCAAACTTCATCAATAGGTGGCATAGGGAACAGGTTGCTAAGGACTCAAAAGGAAGGACCCATCAACTCTGCTAACAGTATACTGAGGTTCAAAAGGGGGGAACCGGGGGGGGGGAGGGGGACATGAATGAAGCCCTTAAGGAATCTTGCCACTGTAGGATGAGAAAATACAATCTGGCCCCAGATAAGAGGAAGATACGTAGCTGTTGTTGCTAAATATACCCTTATGGAGTTGATAGACACTCTAGATAATTTCAGGGCTAGCAAACAGGGAATTGAGTCTTGCTAGATTTGCTTAGCCATATTGTTACTATATACATCTAAATATATTCAAATGAAATTCTAAACAAGGACGTCAATACATTATTAAACCAGTTTTTTTTAAAAAAGGGAAATTAATTTATTGATTTAAACAAGTAACCCTTAAAATAAAATAGATATATGAAGAAACTTCAATTTACTAACCAGGTTATCTCTGCTGGTATAGTGAACCATCCATCCTTCCTTCACCATTGTACTGCTCTTCCTCTTTGTGTGCTTGATTGACTGTACAACCCTCATTAGTGGAATATTATTGCTTGTTGATGGACTAAGTTTTAAGAAAGGTTATAACTTAATCAGAAACCGTTAAGATTTAACAACAATTATACCAGTACTATACTGTGTGTTTTCAGGAACAGACATCTTTTCTTACCTATAAATGCTATTTCTTTGATTGACAAGGTCAGCTTCTAAATAAGTTGAATGTCATTAGCTTAATGAGCATCCAGTTGAATAGCAGAATTTTTCAGCTGCAACACGTTGTCACAAGGCTCCTACTAGCTTCCCCAGTACAAATGCCAAAGCACTTACAACAGAGTGATATGTTTACAAAATTGAAAAGAAGATATGCCTGGTTGGAATGAAAATGACTAGAGAAATAAGACTTGTCTCACTAAAGATTAACTAAAGTGGTCATTTTTTTTCCTCCAACAACCAGAAAATAGTATCACTAATGCCTACATACTGTTATTCTATTCCACTGATTACGCTATTCCATAATACTGCTATTCCACTGGTCATCTGTGCCTGCACATGTGACATAAGCTGTCCATCTAGCTAGATTTCAGAGTAGCAGCCGTGTTAGTCTGTATCCGCAAAAAGAACAGGAGTACTTGTGGCACCTTAGAGACTAACAAATTTATTAGAGCATAAGCTGTCGTGGGCTACAACCCACTTCTTCGGATGCATATAT